AACATTTCAACTCTATTATCACTATGCTGCGCTAGTCCATGAACTATCAAAGTCGACGACTTAAAAAATTAAGTTCGCGCTGGTCGAGGTCATTTCAAAGTCTGGAATTACCGAGATTCGGTCGCGATGGTCTGGAAACACCCAACTTCGGTTGCAACAGTCTGTAAATACCAAAACTCGGCCACGATAGTCTAATCATAAAACCAAAACCTTGGATCGCGTTGTTATTATTAGGTGTGGTGAGTACTTAACTGGAACCCACTGTGAGACGACTAAAGGGGTTTGTCCGTCTGGGATGTCGGGTGCCAAGTGTGACATCAAGTGCAACTGTAGTCCGGGCGAGAACTGTACCCGCGAGGACCAGAACAAAATGCCAGTTGCATTCCGGATGACATCATAGACGAACACTGTCAGCGCAAACGTTAGTCAAAAATTCTTTTGAGTTATAACTTTTCAAATTTTATGGATACAGGGAGTAATGATGGAAATGAAACATTGAACGTCAAAAAGATTAGTAGCTCAAAAGAAACTTTACAAGATCTTCATAAGAATTGCCTTGTTTGAAAAATTATGAATCTACAGTTTTATTTAGAGACATAGTTTTCCCGTTCAAACAGTGCTCTCGAAAGGAAAGTGCTCACAGTCATATGATCTTTTTTGGAAAAAAAATTTTGATTAAAATTTATACTTTACGTCTTGATTTTGGTTGCTTTTTACTTAGTCGAAGCTTTGAAGCTTAATTTTAGCAACTTACTGCAGCCCAGAAAAATTCGAGAAAAAAATGTAGTTTCGCTTTTTCATGTTTATGCATTTGATGTATTGTGGTCGGATCTTTCTGTGCTACTTGCGCAGCTAGTGGATTTTTTTTAAATTATTAGTTATTATCAGTTTTGTTCAATCATTTTCGACAGATTGAAATTTCGAAGATGTGAACACATTTGAAAACGATTTCACGCCATATGAGAATATGTCTGGCGTCTGCGACCAATTCTTGTTCTGTCAAAGAAGTGCAAAGATCAGAAGATGAATATGAACATGACTTATCATCCTATGAGCAAACAGAACAGACCTATTTTACACAATACTTAACTATTGTCATTTGGTCATTGCACGGCGATAAACATAGAGGACCAATTATGGTAGAAATTACTATTTAACCACATGAGTGAAACTTGTTTTTAACCTCAGCGTTACCTCAGCGAGTTATTATTATTTTGTTATTCTCCACCATATAATTAGTTATCAAGCTCATAAACTGAAAAAAAAAACGTTACACCGACCAGGAAGGCGAGTAATGACTTACTTTTTTAACTTAAAATATTCATTTCATGTTAAATTTGAGTTTTATGAAAGATTTGAAAGCTTCACTAATTCTAATTTTTTAGTCGGCAAGGTAAATGACTTAAGCTTTGATAGCTTTGATAGCAATAAGTCTAAGAACTTCTAACTTTGAATTGAACAAAACCAGCATTTTCAATTTTCAACAGTCAAAGATATGATTTTTTGGAGAAATTTTTTTTTCTCAAGATGTCTCAATTAATTTGTCGAAATTTGCAACAGCCACAACTTCCGATTCCCTCCCCTCTACAACCCCTGGCGTCCCTGGATCCCAATTGCACATGTCATCCCCCCACCTGGAGTACCTGGTGATGGCGGGGGTGCTGGCAGCAGGCATGATTATGGGTGTGAGCGTGATCGGCTGCTACAAATTGTGTTGTCGGAGGGGAAGTTACGTGGAACCGCCTTCGAAAAGTGGCGAGATCAGATACAGGGTCAAGGATGACCTGGTTTTTCTATGTGTCAAAAACGTTAGTACCATGAAACTAAGAACTGCATTGAAAAACATTTTTTTATTCCTATGACTTTTTTTATCCCTACTGTTGTTGAAAATATTTTAATTGAAAAAAGATGAGAACTGAAAAACAAGGTTACTGACATAAATTAAAAAGTGTGTGACAAAAAATTGTGAGCAATTTTATGAACGTATTTGAAAAATTAGTTTTTCTGAAATGGTCCAGAGCCAAAAACTAATTGAAGAGTTCCGCCGCATTGCAATTTGCACGCAATTTTTCAACCAATACAGTGCTGATTTATATTATTCGGACAAAACGAACAAAGCTTGAATATTCTAACGCATTTTTTTTCTTCAAACTGGGTCAACATTAGACAAAAGAAGAACAGAACAAAAGTTGCTTAGAATTTGACCAGAATTAATATGTGCACTTTCTTCTGCAAAATTCTCAATCAAAATTTTACCCCAAAAATTAACATTTAATTCTATTTGTCTGATTTATTTAAATCAACCCTTTTCAAAGTAATAAACCAGTTTTGCATCTAAATTAATGCCAGATCATTAAAAATAAACATAATTCAATTTAAATACTAACATATGTTTATTGTTCCGACTTTCGATACGAAAGTAATTGTTCCGGCTTTCGATACTAAAGTAACGAAATATTTGTGCTCGGGGTGGGTTTTTTTTCTTCAGACAAATTTCGTCTTATTAACTAGCCATTTTAGACGGAATTTTTTTATATCATTCAAAAGGTATTGTTGTCCTGAGCTTAAATTTGAAAAAATATTTCACCTGTGACCATTTTTCGTAAAGTTATGAGCGTTTAAAGATTGCCATTTTGGCCATTTTGACCAATTTGGGACAATTAACGCGCGATAGAATTCGCGCTATTAACGCGTAAGCGGAGATTTAATCCGTCTTAGAAACCGTTCCAATTTGGTTGAAGGAAGCTTATATGCCATATTTGGTTTGTTACAAGGAACGAAATTTATCTTTTTGTACTTTATATGGCGTGTGGGGTGATAATTTTTATAAAAAAAATCAAATTTTAGAAAAAAATGTTTCATTTCATTTTATTTCATTTAATTTTTTTCATGTTAATACTGCTCCATAAACCTTAAAAGGCAGTCGGAACATTCATGGCTTCGCCCTGATACGAGCAGTTTTGTTATTTTTATCGATGAAAATTTTTTCGCAAATCGCTCAGAGTTGGCAGCATCACTTTATGCCTCCTTTGTCATAAATGTCTTAGTTTTGCTTATATTTAGCTAAAGCTGAAGTTGGCGCAAGTAAATAGGAATCGGATTCCGTTTTGTATAGTTTGTTTTACTCAGAACAGTTTTCAAAATAACCTTAGCTGAGCTGATTTGAATCCCTAAGACTTTTTTTATCCCAGCGGGGGCGCGACACCACTATATTAACATGAGTCCTCCACGGCCAGTATAAACTGCTCGCTCAATGATTAGGTGAAAAATGTAATGCAATTTATTGTTCCGACTTTTGATACGAAAGTAACGGAATATTTGTGCTCGGGGTGGGTTTTTTTTTCTTCAGACAAATTTCGACTTTTTAACTAGCCATTTTTGACGGAATTTTTGTTAATCATTCGAAAGCTATTGTTATCTTGAGCTTAAATTTGAAAAAATATTTCACCTGTGTTCATTTTTCGTAAAGTTATGGGGATTTAAAGATTGCCATTTTGGCCAATTTAGGACAATTAACGTGCGATATATTTCGCGCTATTAACGCGTAAGCGGAGAGTTAATCCGTCTTAGAAATCGTTCCAATTGGTTTAACGAAGCTTATTTGCCATAAATGATTTGTTACAAGTAGCAAAATCTATACTTTTGTGCTTTATATGGCGTGTGGGGGATGAGCTTTATAAAAAGTTTCAATTATAAAAAATTTCAATCCCACAATACACAAGTGTTTCAAACTGAATTGAGGCAATTTAATGGATCGTAATACTTCCACATACGACTCAAAGTTTAGTAGCTTAATTTTGATATTATCAGTTTAAATTTCAAAATTTGTCAACTTGCAATAAACTAAAAACTATTCGAGATCAATTGAAGAGCAGTCGGAACATTCGAGGACAATTTTGCTACGAAAAATAAGAAAAATACATTTCCCTCGGCCTTTTTTTTGTGGTGATGTAAAAAAAAACTTTTTTCGAGCTATGTAAAACTAATTATAATGAAATTATAGAACATGTGAAATATATGAAAAATGTTTTTCCCGTAGAGTTGATGTATAAAATTGTAGAGTTTTTCGTTTTAATGTTATATGTTGATTTTTTTGTGAAATGGTGTTCAACACTGGGTACGACGGCACAAAGGAAATTTTTGAAATAAAATAAATTTAACATAACTTTTTGAAAAAATGATTTTTAATAACCCAACTGTGGTCTGTAAAGTAATTTGATTTCTTTTTGGATAAAAAGATCGAACGGCCAATTCATTTATGTAATTTTTGCTTCTGCAGCCTAACTCAAGTTTTTACCTATCAATATTGTTAAGTACTCGGCAGTTTCTTTACGCTTAAATTTGTCAAAATGGTTGACATGGAGAAAACTAGACAAATTTTAAAGTAGAAATGTCATAATTAAAACAGAATTAAAATATGAAAACAACCCAGGTTGGAAAAAAACGCTAGTCATACAGTTGACTAGCATTTCACGCGTTCAGAAATTAATCTGATAACATTACGACTAGCATCTTTTCGCAAGATAAAACTGTGAGCCTGGAACACTTAATAGAAAAAAAATTCAATGTTTCATGCAATTTTTTTCCAAATTATCTGTTTGTGGCTAAAAAAAAACATTTTTTCACTATTTTTGGTTTTTTTTTTGAAAATTGTTGAAAAATTGTATGGCTACCGTTTTTTCTTTAGCTACTATTTGTCGAATTGTTTGACCAGAATTTTCGGGTGGAGGTCAACCCGGAAAACTTACCTCTGATTGGTTTATGATCTGTCTACTTTTTTTATTCACTCAGGTCAGTCGCTTTATTGCAGGTCAGGATCATTACCTAAAACAATAATTCGGTTTCGATTACATTGCGCACTGATTGCTTTTCTATTAAGTAACTTATAATTTCGTTCACATTTGGAATGATTGATGATTCTGAAAACTCAAGCATTGGAAGATGTTTTGGTTACTTTAGAGCAAGTTCAAAGGCCAAGATCCCCAAGTGCTAATTCCCAGTATTCTGGACAGCTCAAACATCAGCCAGAATGGAGCCGGCGACTTCTGCTCCTCCATGTTTGATCTACCCCCCTGTGGGGACCATCAAGGGGGCACTGCTAACAGGCACACTCCATACAGAGATGCACCTGGTCTGGCTGGACAGCTTGTGAAGAATGAATTGTCGTAAGAAACATTTGGTTAAAATCAAAGCATGCTCTTTGGTCATTTAAATTTTTTTTGCGACCATGTAAATTCTTAGTGAGGTCAATAATTCTCTTAATTTTTGGCTCTTTCTTCTCCCATAACTTGCGAAAGTAAAAAAAAAATGAGAGGCGCAAGGCCCGATTATAAAAAAAATGAGCATGGGGAATAATTACGCTTTTTCAAATATGTTTGGTTTTATGACACTCACAAATGATACTCACGTGATGTGAGTTTGAATGGAAAAGAAACAAGAGGCTATTTCTTATACTGGGATTACTAATCAAAAAACTGTTTTGGAACCATCTATTTCAACGTACGATATTCATTTAAGTGAAAAAGCATTAATATCGATAGTATAAACTCCTTGTGTTTTCAGGCCAGACAATAAAATGATAGTTCAGCTCCCTGGAGTCGGAAAAGACCACAAACCTCCTCCTCAGGTAAAGGTCAATTTCAAAATTAATTATTAATCAAAAGGCCGTCGGATTTAGTTGTAGTGTAGCTTTAGTGTAATCGATACTTTTAGGTATAAAAAGTGTATTCTTCCTGCTCATCATAAATAACATGTTATTTTAGAAAGTGTCGACCATCCGTAATGACTACACAGACGTCAATGACATGACAGATGGATCCACGTCATCCTCGTATAGACCCCGCCGGGTACCTCGGAATTCCTCGACGGCCACTGGATATACTCGACCGCCTCTCCCCGTTCCTCCGAGCGCTACCGGCAACCCTTACGGAGGTTCCGAACGTCCGCTGTCCTCAGGATCCGGAGGTCCTGTAAAGGTCACCCTAAGTCCACCTTCTGGTCCAAGTGACACATATTGCGAGGTTCCAAACTACGTCGGCAACAACGAAGTTTACGGGTACAACAACGGGTTCTACGGTTCGGCGAGGAGCCAAGGTCGTATCCAATCAGATTTCAGCAGGCCTGTTGATCTTGCTGAGTATACTAATCCCTCTAGCTCGTCGGCAGTTTATGACTACGAACCTCAGCAACAGTACTATGGCTCAAGTTTGGACAGACCTAATGATATCTATAATGAGGATGATTCGGTTGGACTTCTGAAAATTAAAACAAAGCAGTCCTAAAAATGTCTGTAAAATATCGCGGCTTTCATTTCATCACAATAGTTTATTGTTTTAATTGACATGATTATTTTCTTTTCTGATTTAATTCAACCATTGTTTTCGAGAAGAAAAAAAATTATATGAGTTTCAACAGCAATCAAAGGTTTGTCTAATACATACTCATAATTGATATTGATATCCAGCTTTGGTTGTGGAGTTTTTTTCTTCAAAAATATCGGGATGGAAACAGTTGAATTTTGACTTTATTTGCAATAATTTAAGCAATATCAAAACTCACACCAACAAATTTGATACATAAACACACTAACAATTTGAATCAAGGTAACATAGCTCAAAACTGTGTCATGGGTAAAGCACGTCACATCAGTATAACCTTAACATTAACATTACTGTATGCGCTCGCATTGATTCTCACAGCGTTTAATTATCATATATAAAGTGGATGAATTCAGAATGTTATTTGAGATTGGACACTCGATTGTTGCGCCTGTTGACCACCCCTGCCGCCGCCACCTTTTCGTCCGTTTGCCGGAAGCTCGTCGTTGAAAGCAGTTGCAAAAGGAGGAGGCGCGGGACCGTGGCCATTTTGACTACTTCCTTTTCGCTTTCCTTTGAATTCTTGGTCGTAACCATCTGCAGTGCCTCCAAGGTCTTGCAGGGTTCCCCACGGTACCGGCTTGTTCTTCTCCGCCAACATTGCTTCGCGATGTTGATTTATGACTGGCTTCGACTCGGGATTCTGGTCGTAGAAGTCACGTTGTCGGTTCATCGAATCTTCATATGTCATTTGGGATTTCTGATCCAGGTACTGCTTGCGAGTTGAGTTGTTGCCACCGGATCCGGAGTGAGACAAACCATTGGTGTGGGGTGCATTTGGGTCGGTCGTTCCCCATGGTACTGACATATTGCCATTACCTATCGAGCAAACGATTTCCTTATGAGAAAAATCTAAATGCGTTCGCTTGTCGAAGCTCAAAAATTGTTGTTCAACGAACTATAAATCTTATAACCGTGTGAGTTAGGACCGAGTTGGTTAACTCATAGAGTAATTTCGGATAGGGTACACCGTCTGCTCGTCACGCTATCTTATTTTCGGCCGGATAGATTCGTGCAACTTCTTAGTCTAATACCGATCCTAATCTTACTCTTATACTATCTAGTCTCAGGTTGTTTAACTAGTCTCTGCTAGGCTCAATAGATCTAGGGTATACTGGTTTATTGCGGCTGCTGAAGCGCTCGGGAGAGTCCAACTAATTTCTAAGTTAAATTCAAATCTCTCTGGTGCTGAAATTACAAGTAACTTCAGCACTTATAAATAAGTGGGTTGTTAGTTAGATGGATCATGATTGGTTAATATTAAATACTTTACATTGGTAAAATATCTAAATTATCCAATCATAAAATGTAGTTTAGATCAGGTTCCACCCATCCGGGTTTTACAGAGTTTTTTAGAATAGTTTTTCTGCAATTCGAAGGATGGATGATGGACGTTGGTGTTTGGCGAACATCTTATTTCTTCTGTTTCCTTTTTATTAAAGAAGTTCCAGGAAGCTGGAGTTAGAGACATAAGACGTTGTGTCTTCTAGTGACAACGACTAAGTCTTCGCAACAAACTCAAATCTGATTTCAGAATGGTTTGCTATGTCAGGTTTTTCTGTTCTGCGTGGAGAACTTCTTTTGTGTCTGATCTAGTTTGGGAATGGCGTGGAGATTGTGCGTGGAGGGGATGCCTGGTTACTCGGATCTGTACGTATACTTGAACATCGAGGTGGTCATTGTTCTAGTTCAATGAAGTCCTTTTCTGCGAAGTCAAGTCGTACTCTAAATCCTTTGAGTTGTGATTGTGAGTGGCATATCGATTGTGGTTGGTCATTCTCTCTCGAGTGTAGTGGGGTCGTTTTGTCTTTAGATGTTCGTCCTTGGTGTTGTATTCTGATCTATGTATTGCATAATGTAATTTACATTTTATAAAACATTTATTAGTTTAATATTTTTTAATTATGATTTTAGTTAGTTGTTTTCACAAAAGCTTTTTGTTTTAGTTCGGTTATTTTGAAGAGTTACTCACACTTGAGTAGCTCTTATTAAAAATAGAGGTGTGGTCACAAAGCGTGGATGTAGCACGGTGGGTTAGGCCGGCTATAGAGCATGCTCAGGACGTCCTTCCTGGTGGGTTAGGCCAGGAGTGGGAGTATGATTTCATGCGGTTTTTGTGAGGGGTCCTGTTATGTGACAACGTTTTATGTTGGGTTTGTTGTGGTTTTTCTTATGTCTTGTTGGTTATGTCCTTTTTCCAAAAAGCAAATTGTTCGTGGTATGGGTTTGTCTTTCGACTTTTTTGTGTTTTATTATTTCTTTCTTAGACTTTATAATAGTCTTCAAAAGAATAAATTATCCAGTTTTAAACTGGGTTAATCCGGTTTGGGTACCGTTGGTTTCCTTTTCTTAGTCATGCTGTTATTCTATGATTTTTGGTATTTAGTAAGCTGCGTTGGTTAGTTTTGTTTAGTATATGATTCCTTTCCAACCGGGTTAAAGGAAAGTTTGAAACATGTTATTATATGTTAGAGTTGTTGATTGTGAAAACTTGAAACTGAAATTCATTATTTTAAACAATTCTTCGTGGGCGAGCTGTGCGAGTGTGGATAGAATTTCTGTGCGAATGAATGAAAATATCAAAAGGTTAGTACTGCATTTGCATTTTATTAATTTACTGCATAGAATTTGGAAATTTACTGCTAGTTATGGGGGAATTTTAAGTTACAAATTTTCATCATAATTAGATTTACTGCTTGTGGGGAAAATTTTAGAAATGAATTTATTGCATTGGTATTAAAATTATAAATTTATAAGTGTAAGAGATTAATAGAATTTTTGAAATCTGTTTGATGAAATTTGCGATTTTTATTTGTCTTTTGTGGTTTTTGTAGGTGATTGTCGGATGAAGGCTAAAAATCTAAAGAAAACATGAATAAAGTATGGTGAGTTTTTTTAATATTTTAATTAGTTAGTAATATTCATTTAATTCATACTTACCTGTTAGTCGTCGGGGAAAAAACCGTGGGGGAAGATGTCGTGAATTAGTTCTGAAGTTGTTAGTAGTTTAGCTAAGATGCGGATGATATTTTTAGTCTGAAGCAGTGGCCAAAGCAATTGAAGTGCCTTAATAGTGGTTAGTTCTTCAGTGCCAACTGCAAACTCATAAGGTGTGTTTTGGATTAGATTATATAATTTGTGATTGAATTTAGTGTTGTGGATGAATTCTAAAATTGGGATTTCTATAGGTTGTACAAACTCGTGCGGGATAAGGAAGGGTCGGGATTCTTCGGCGTTGAAGGTCTTGGTGATGGGACAGAAGATGTACATTTGGGTTATGGGGTCATAATTACGAAGAATACCATGAAGGTTAGTATCTTTAATGCAATATGTGAAATTTAGGAAAAATGGTGAAGTGTATTTGGAATTAATGAATTGAAAACGATGGTGTGGTTGTCTAGAGGGTGTGTGTAGGTCAAAGTGATTTTGGATGAAGCGATAATAACTATATGTGTGGGTTTGTTTAGTGCGCAACATAATATCGTGTGAGCAGTGTAAATCTCTTTCGTGTGGTGCAAGGAAATGAAAGGTTAGTGAAAATATTTGGAAGCGTTCTTTAAAACTTTCGTATGCTTGTGTGTCTGTTAGTGCTTCTGAAATAATGTGATCAAACTTTCGGTCGAAGATGTTTAGTGTAAATATATATGGTGTCTTGATGAAAAATTTCTCGGTAATTTGTGGATTAGCGAAGCGATCGTCGTCTAAGAATTGATCTTGGTTAGCTCTGATGATGTTGTGATCATAGTATTCGAGTGTATATTCGTTAGCTCTAGGTGCAGTGTGTGTTTTTAGTGATTTTTTATATCCAACGTAAGTAAATTGTCTAGCGGTTAGTGGTGTAGTGAGTCGATATAGCATGTCCGTATTTCGCTCTATATCGATGTGAGTGTTAGATAAAGGTAAACAAAGAGGGTTAGTAAAATGATAATATGAGGTCCAAGAGAGAGTGGGCATTAAAACGTATTCATCTACAAAGTTGCGTGTTTCGTTAGTGTCGTGGGGGGTGTTTAAGGTGTATTGTGGAAATGAGGGTAAGGTGATGGCTAAAAATTCTTTTGTGTTAGTATGCTTGGGATGGTTGATGTATTCACGGGCTGTTCCTGGTTTTGCTGGGAAAGGATGGTTGGGGAACTTTCTTTTAAAAGTGCGGTAAGCTCTATTAGTGTTGAGTGAAGATTCAGTTGATGTGGATGATGGTGCTAATGATTCAGTATAATTTGAAGAGGGTGTAGGGGTAGGGGGGTTGGATGAATTTATTGTGGAGGAGATTTGGTTTATGGTTGGGGTATTAAGGTGGTAGGGTTGTTGTTGAAGGGTAATAAAATTATCTAGCTCTGGGGAGATTCGGGGGGTGTCTGGAGAAGGAGATGATTGGTCAGAATGGTATGAGGAGTAGGTTGGAGTAACTTGGGAAGCATAAGAGGGTGTGGGAGTGATGGGGTCAGGGTTATTGGATAATATGGGTTGAAAAGGGGGTTGAGAAAAATTAGAAGAGTTATGAAAATTATTGGATGGGGATGGTTCTGAGTCGGCAAATTCATCGGGGGTTTCAATATTCGGGTTATTGAGTTGTGAGATGGAATATAAAACTGAGGTGTGTGAATTAGTGTCGGAATTCATGCCTGATGTTACATTACTAGATGGAAAATCGGGTGGCGGAAAAGCAAAAAGTGGTATTATTGGGATTGGAGAGGTAAGATTGGTTGGGTGGGAATTTGATCGGTGTAGTGATCCAAGTTGGCGGCTCATCGTGGGCTAAAAAAATGATTATTTTGAGACTGAAAAGCGGTGGTATGGGGTTGTTCAATAATTTGTTCATAAGTATTATCATCTTGTGACTGGTGTGTCATTATATGTTGAACGGGACTTTGTGATGTGGTGAGTCGAAAATTTGGATTATGTGTGATGGCTAAATTTCGAAAATTTCGTGGGACTAGGGATAGTGGATGGTTATTTGGTAGGGGTGGTAATTGTGGTGCCGTTGGCGTTATGTCTACATTGTTATGTTCTTCGTCGTATGTATTTTGTCGTGTTGCTATTTTTGTGTTATATTCTTTTATTTGTGCGTCTAAAAGAATTTTGTTTATAGATGTAGAAAAGATTCCAAAAAATCCTGCAAAGAGTATGCGTGCTACACTTGCTTGTCGATTGACTTGTGTGTGTATAGCACATGTGTTGTAGATTCCTTTTAAAAGTGAGAAAAGAAATCCAATAAAGTTAAACATTGCGTATAAAATAGTCAATTTTTCTAAGATGTAGTAGGGCCATCCTAGAAAATCGAGGATCTCATTTTTGAGTGTAACAAAGCTAAAAATGTTAATTGGTGATATATCTTGGGGACGGTATTTTTCACCGTTTAGATATATATAATCTTTAATGTCTTTAAAATATCCGCTATAGTCTTGCGTGTAGATATCGGCAAATCCTGCGGTTTCTGCAAGTTTGCGTAAATTTTGGTCTATTGATTGTCTTTGTATAGTGTCCATTTGTGTTAATAATTCTTGGAATTGTTGTGTTCTAATGTGATGTTGAATATCTGATTTTGAATAGATTCCTATTGATTGTAAGTCTATATTTGGGTTTCGAGCAATAGCGCGAATGCTTTCTGGTGAAAATTTTTTGAGTGATTGCATTAATGTGGGATATGGAGTGAGAAGATAATATTTATTTTCATCAGGGTTTAGTTGTACTACATTGTGGCTGTTTTCTGATCCACATGGGACTGCGGTATCCCAGAAATAGGTTCTTCGTGAAAGTGTATCCACGAAATGTACTTTATTCTTATAAAAGATAGGGATTCTTTTATAACATCGTTTATC